CCCCCCACCCCGAGATCTGTTTCATGTTCAGCAAAATACCCTCCTGGATCTGTCAGTCATCAATTCCTTACCGATCACCAGAATACATGGCACGAAACACCTAGGAATTACCATACATAGCAATCTACGGCGGTCTTCTCATGTGCTTGCTTGTGTTGGCAGACAGCATCGATTATCTTTTCAAATAGGCAAGCTACGACAATTTCGCGTCAGTCATGAAACTATGTGCTACTTTGTTTATCAATGCATTTTTCCTATCATGCTTTATTGTTTGCCCGTTATTTTCCCTGGTCTACTTAGAAAAGACTTGATTACTCTAGGTCGCGGTTTGGTGATTATCAACCCTATTTCTCTTATTCCTTTAAACACTTTGATCACAAAATTGTGTAATTTGCGTGTCACTTCATGTGAGAATTTCGCTAAAAAGATACTCAATTACCCCAGTCATCCACTGAATCCCGATTTATGTGCTTGCCGTATCCACGCTTCAACCCAATCCAATTGTCGCTGCTTACCCTCCCGCATAAACATTTACCGTAACTCAACGATTCCCTATTTGGCTCGTATTCTCACTGACACGGTGAGGATCCGTAACGAACTGATTTTAAACTTACAAAGATGAACACCTACTTAAGTTTTATCATTGTTGTACATTACTTTCATTTCATTTTTTATCCCACTGTAACGGTGAACACGTTTTTGACTGAAATGTGGGCACAGTCGCCTGCATAAGTCATCTATAATAATAATAATAATAATAATAATAATAATAATAATAATAATACAATAATACTTCGGTTTGACCGTTTCATCAATTTTTTTCCGCCCGATTGGAGGTTGTCAGCTTCAGTACCACTACTCCGCCAACACATTGCGTCTCACAATGCGGCCAGCTTTTCACTGCCGTGAAACAATTTGTAGCTTCGTAGACGTGAGAGTAAAACATCGCAAGTTATTCCCACTGATGCATGACTTAAATTGTCGAACTGTGTAGAAATTACTTTTCGATAGATTGAATCAGGCATTTTTACATAAATATATAATTTGACCAGTCATCAGATTAGTACACACTGCACTTAAGATCCACACCGAAGGGACAATGCTCACAACTGTGGAATCCACGGCAATCAGGATTATGAAGCCGGAGTTGTGTAAAACAAAGAAGTTTGGTTCAGGGCGCTGCTGTTAGCATGACCATAAGAATGATTACCCATATTTCTGTGTGACACTTTCTATTTTTCCCCCGATCCTCCGTACTACTTATTTGCTGTCCTTTTTTGCACACTGTCACAGCTGTCTAATTCAGTCCCGGCTAACACCTTTCATATATTGTTCACTTATTGTGACCACGTAGCTTGCTTGCTTTTTCTAAACGAACATTTGGCACTTAGACGTTCAGTCAGTATCCGCATCAGGCAAATGCCCGATGGAAAAAATTTTTAAATATAAAATTCCAGCGGGAGTTCATGGATGTCATCCTTTGGAACACCCGGTGTTCCGATCGGATCTGTGGAAGAAAATTCTTTTTGCTGAGTCAATCTCCGAACCGTGGTAAGCGTAGTGTATTGACGCAATCAGTGAATTCTTACTAGTACATTCCATTAACGGTGATGATGGACGAGCAGAGTAGATCATCAGAGAACGGATAAGATGCCACTGAAATAACTCGTAACTCCGGTTGACACATGAATGAATAAGCGAAAATTTCTGCATATAACGATGCTCACCAGACACCAGGCAGACTGACCTCAGTCATCTACCCGTAGTCCATGAGCAGGAATGTCATTTTGCAAAATCCAGATTGGTTTGTTTAAACGTATGCGGAACGGATCAGAGCTTAATGGTAAAATTTGGGACATGACCAATGCCTCGTAACCAGTTGTCTCATCACCCTCGCCTCCACCCCACCCCACACATGCAGATAGACAGACAGACAGACACACTGTGTCTCAATCCGTGGACTCACCTTCAACCTTCAGTCTACCCGGTTGGGGAATGACCGAGACCCGTAGACGTCCACGGCGCTCCGTATGATCCAATCCGCACAGTCGAGGAGCTCGGGAAGTGCATCGTTTGTGCACATTCAGATCACAGTCTGTGAGCGGGTATCGAACGACGAGTGGAAAGGTTGAGAGAAAGCGAAATAAAAATAAGCTTTCAATGCGGTTCCAATTTTCATGTCAAATGAAACAAAAACACAGAACTCTTATTCCACCTTGATGCATTGGAGTGTTTTTCAGAACGCATTCAACACGGGTTTGAAGATAGGTAGATAAATGTTCAGATTGGGGTTTGGAACAGTATTAGTCTCAATAGGCTAGTATCAGCGAATGAGAAGGAAGAAGCCCGGTATAAATGGCTGGGAAACGATTTGAAAGAATAAACATATGTATATATATATACATGTTTCTTCAAATGAAACAGTTAGGGCGTTTCCTTTATCACCTGGGATAAAGCGTTTACGCCGCTTGTCAAGTGCATTTTGATAATTGTTCCTGTTGTGTTTTCAGCGTCAGCGTTTTCCGCGGAATTGTTCGGTTTCTGCATGTTGGCCAGTGTACTTACCGTGTTCGGATTCTCCTCCTGTTTTAGGGTACATAACGACGAAAAACCTCATCTGTTGGACAAACAATCGTCTAAATGTGGAAAGCAAAAAACCACAGAATTGTGGAGAAAAGTTCTTCCCCTTATTTGTTAAAATTAATGCTCAGATTGTTATTTGACAGATTGAATTTTTTCTGTCGAGATTATGAAAAGTTCAGTAGCCTCGGTGGGATTCGAACAAATGTACACCGCCTACGCTTTTTGTACAGCGCATATCTTTTGCTTGTTTCGGGTCAGTTGTCGAGTTGCACTGTGCAGCAATAGCGAATCAAAGACGGCGCATATCGAGTGCGACCCCCTCCAAC